TCATAATATAAAAGTCATGTCTCAGCTTTCACAGATGTCTTATCTTCTCAGATAATTCTTCAGTGAACTTATTTATCTTATCAGAATATTCTTATTGCTGAATCTTAAATCAGAGCTTGTAATCTCACTTCTCTGAGTTAATAATTTCTTTAATCTGATATTCTCTTTCACTCTCTAGTACTTTATAAATAGAGTGATAAGTGACAGAGTTCTCTTCTAAGAATTTCTTATATTTATAAAGTAAAGAGATATAAAAAACATTATATATCTATAACTCAGATAACAGTTTTAATCTATAGAACTGTGAACTAACTTTGTTTATAATCTTACAAGACTCTGTCTGTAAGAGATTCAGCTTCTTACTAGATCTTTATATAGTAATGTTTTCTAGACTCAGTCAGACTCTATTATCTTTCTTAAAACTCTTTATAATATACTTAAAGTTATAGTATCTCTTCTGATACTCTTAAGTCTTTCTCAAGAATTTACAGACTTTCTTCTGAATATTCTAAATTCTCTCAGTCTGTTCACAGATATCATCACACTCTATAGTATACTCTCATGAGGTTATGAAGATTATTTATAAATGAGTCTCAGTGAGTATCTTAAAGAGGGTTTTATCTGTGCTGATATGCTTTGAGTTATTATATACAAACTCTATGAGTGATAATTAATGTACTCAGTCATTCTGATTGTAATTAATAAAGTACTGCAGATACTGTTTCAATATACTTATCAGACACTCTGTCTAATCATCTATCTGTTAATGAAAAGTTATGCTTAAATCTTATAAGATCTTCAGTATAATTATCAGATCAGATCAGAACTTCTCTGTGAAGATTAATTCTCTATCTAAGATAATATTCACAGACAACTCATGCAATCAGATCATATTATAGATAAAGATATAAGTTAAATTCTTTGACTTTAAGTTCTTGTAGATGAGTATAAAGCATATTATCTTAATAAAGTAATCTACTATCATCAGCACACTGTCAAAGCAGGTGTTATATATATTCTTACTTTTAGAGAGACTTACAAGAGTATTTATTTCTAGCTGTTTTCAAGATTTCTGTAGAATGAGTAGAGAAGTAAGTTCTTTATATAATCTGAATCACACTACTCATGAACTCTGATAAATAGTATAAGAATTTACTATCTTCTTCACAAGTTCTCATATCTTCAGTCAGAAGTATTTTCTTATAAACAACTCACAAGTTCTAGTATCTGTAAAATAATCTACTAGAGAAGAGTTATAATATCTTTTAATAAGTTATATATATAGAAACTTATTTACAGATACATAAATTTAGTTCTCTCTTTATAAAAAATTATTTAAGTCTCTTTAACTCTTTGTTTCTGCAGAATTGATTTCTATTATAAGCAGTTTCTGAATATACTGAGTATATTCATTTTTCAGTTACAGTTCAGACAATCTAAACAGAAGATTTTATAAAGACTTATACTCTGTTTTTTCTTATATCAGATCTTCTGCAGTATTTCTTGAAGCCTGTAAACTCTTCAGATTATAGATACTCTCTTTAAGAATTCTTACAGAGATTCTCAGAGTGTTGACTCTCAGTATTATAGAGAGTAGTTACACAGACTTCTTCTCTCTCTTTTCTCTCTTCTCTTATAGAGAATTGAGAGACTCTTTAGTTAATCTCTTTATAACACATAGTTCAAGTATTCTGTGAAGCTTTTCTATCTTCTCTAGCTTCTCTATATCTGTCATTCTGATCTTCTTAATATAGTCAGATCTGTGAGAGAATTTATTCACTGAGTTCTTAGTTCTCTTGATATACTCTATCTTGAATCAGAACTCACTCAGTCTCTGAACTCAGCAGATCTACTACTGTAAGAGTTTCTTGATTGAAGTAAACTATTATAAGCTGTTATAATCAGTTCTAACAGCAATCACTGTTATAAGACTCTCAAAGTAGTAATATCAGTGATGAAAGAATTTCACTATTATAAAAAGCTCTTATTATTATTATTATTATTATTATTATTATTATTCTTCAATTATAGATGTATGCAGTCAGAGACTATGACATCTACCTGAGAACTTTAGTTCTCAGGGTTTTTTCTATGTCTGTAAAGTTAACTATTGTACATTCATCAATTTCAGATATGCAAAATCAGAAAATTCCAGCCCAGAATACAAAAACTGTTTACAAATTGCAGTGTTTTAACATCTTTTAATACTTTGAAACCATTTGACAATATCATGACAAAAGAAAAGAGAGAAAGAACACAGTCTCAAAGATAGACACATTAAATAGATAGATAGAAAGAAATTGAAAGGAAAAGATACAGAAAAAGATAAAGTAAAGAGAGACTATAACAAAACAAATTATTAAAAGAGAGTGTATAGCTGTTTTAACAGACTATATCTGATTGATTTCCTCCTCTTCATATTCAGATAATTCTGAATTTAGCCATTTTCTTGTAGCTGCTTGAGTTTCTGATAGAAAGTCTATTAAGTATTTAATTCCTGTCTCAGTTGAGAATAAGAATCTCATATTTAATTGATTTAGATCATACTTCTCTTTCAATCTGGCTCTGAGACTATTGTATAATGCACAGTGCATTATAATATGCTCAGGGTTCTCATTTGCATTGCAGAATGAGCATTCTATTGAGTCAAATCTATCATCAAATCTTTGTATATAAGATTTGAAATAGCCATGTCCTAGTTTCAGCTGTATTATAGATGAGAATATTTTCTTTTTACATTTAATTGAACAAGATTTCCACTTGGGTTTTGTTTCAAATCTTGAATAATGTATACTCTTCTTTTGTTTCTGCCAGCTTTCATTCCACTTGTCTAAACAAGATTCTTTTATTTTTCTCTTTATAAAAGACCAGGACACAATTTTTTGAATAGATCTGCTTAATTCTGCACCCTTCTTTGCAGCTGAATCAGCCAATTCATTGCCATGAATATTCATATGAGCAGGAACCCAGTGCAGATGAATTCTCAGCTTTGATGTTCTTCTCTTTTGAATTTTTAAAACAGAGTTTAAGATCAGTTCAAGATTCATTTGACCATTATAAATCTGACTATTTCTAAGTCTTTTTAAAGCAGCTTGACTATCAGAGAATATCCATGCCTCTTTCAAACAATTTCCTCTTTTATGAGATTTTATTTCAATGAGTTTGAAAGCTTTCACTATTGCAAATAGTTCAGCATCAAAGACTTCACATTCAGAGCCTAGATTCCAGAAATCTGAGATAAAATTAATATTATCTTCAGTATAAGCAATGCCTGCGCCTAATCTATTCAAGTTCTCATTTTTTGAGCCATCTGAATAAATCAGAATAGAGTCTTTTATATTGATTGTAGAAGTTCTCTTCAAATGCTGTTCATATTCTTTCTCTTTTGATAGTTCACTTATTTGTAAGTCTATAAGAGATTCAAGCTTTTTTCTCCAGGGAGATAACTTCTCATGATCAACTTTTTCAACATTTAAAGAAGAAAATTGATTTTTAATCAGAGAGCATAGTCTGTACAGTTGAGAAGGCATTTTCTTTGAAGAATTATTTTCATTCCAATCAAGAAATCTATTCCAATCCAGTTCATTTCCAGAGTTAATTGGTGGAAATGAAGAAGAGACTCTTTCTCTGATTATATGATTTGAGCTCATCTTTACAACTCTCAGAGCATAGTTCATACAGGCCTTTTCAAATCTAATAGCAGGAGGAGGAATTGAAGCTTCAATTTCCATTGCTTTAATAGGAGATGATTTGAAGCATAAAAAGCTCTTAATCATGAAATTTATAGTTAATCTCTGCAGATTGTATCTTCTGTGAGAAAAAGGTCACTGAAACTCAGTTCTTATTTAACTGTAGTTATAAGATTATTTCTGAAATTGTAAAGAAGAAGATATCTATTTTCAATCTAATTAAGAGTAAGAAATCAAAGTGAAATAGTATCACTATATCTGTGAATATCTGTTTCAATCTTATAAAGACTCTGTGAGCTTCTGAAATAAGAAAGTTCTTACAGTTCTCTCTTCTTAACAATCTTTTCATTCTTTCTTTATAGAATGACTTCTTCTTATTTTCACTCTTCAGCATATCTCTAAGAACTAAGAAGATTCTTATAAATACAAAGATAAATCATCTATAGAAATTCATAAAGCTCAGAAAGATCTGAATCTTATAAATATTAATTAGCTCTGATTATAATAGTATAGTCTCAATCTATAAAGGTTTTATCTGAATATCATTTACAGTGATTACATATTCTAGAAAATTAATCTGATAAGTACTGAAGTTGTACTTTATAAGCTTAATATACAGTTCTGTCTCATCTAAGATCTTCAACACACTTTATATATACTCAGTGTGTTCTTTCTTCTTCACAGAGTATATCATCACATTATTCAGATATATTATCATGAAGATATTCAGATATACATAAACTATTTTATTAATAAAAGACTGAAATACTGTGTAGATATTAGTCAAATTAAAAGACATCACTAGATATTTAAATAATCTCAGTACAGTTCTAAAGATAGTCTTTCATTCATTTTCAGACTGTATTCACAGTCATGTATATATATTGATCACATTCAGTTGTGTGAATATAACAGCTCTCATAAGACAGTTAATCACATTCTCAATCAGAGACAGAGAATAGTAGCTCTTTATTATCTTAAAGTTCAAATCATAGTAATTTACATATAATCTGAGATCTTTATTCTTCTTCTTTATAAATATCACAGAGACTTCTACAAAGATCTGTAAAGATCAGATAAAGTCATTCTTCAGATTATTCTTTATATAGATTTATAAGACCTCAGTCTTATAATGAAAGAGCTTATAAATTAATTCTCAGAAGAGTTTCTACTCTTCTATTAAATCTATTATCAGATTCTTCTCATAATAAGATAAAAGCTCAGCTGTCTTTACTAAGCTGAATATCTCTGTAAGATCTCAGTATTTCTCTGATATCTGAAGCTTAGTTTTCATGACTGCAAAGTTCTCAGATGCCCTGGTGGCTGAATGGTTAATGCAGCCACCTGGTAGTGCCTTGGCGTGGGAAACCAAGGCGTGTGGGTTCGAAACCCGCAGGGGATACATTAAATCCGGAACTCAAGCACCTCAGGTTTCTAATAAATACAGAGATGTACAAATCACTTTAACAAATCACTCTATGTTCCTGGAATGAGAAGTTATTATTGCATGTATTTAATTGTCACTTCTTTGTATTTCCTATGTTCTTGTTATCTTGGCATAGTCTTAACACCTGTATTTCCTCCTGTATAACCAACACTTGGCCTGTATTTAACATCACGCAAGGACTCATCATAAGCTCTGCTTGTGTATGAGTATGATGAAGGAATAATAATAATAATAATAATAATAAAGTTCTCAGATATTTATAAAGTTATTATATATATAAGCTTGTCTTCAATAACTAACTCTGCAGCATTAACTGATTCTATCTTTATAAGTAAGTCTGTTAATACTGATCAGAAGTATAAACCTGACTCATAGACAGTTATATACAGATTGTGTTTTTATAGTTATATAAGTTTTAAGTACATGTCATCTGTGATGTCTGTGATAATTACAGTTTTTATAAATCTTCTTCAGATTTTAAAGAGATCTTGTAATTTAAAAATGACTTTTGTAAGTCTCTCAGCTCTCAGATCTGAGTTCTCACACTCTGCTTATTATAAGAGCAGATTCTCAGTTTTCATTACTCAGCTCATTTACTCTGTGAGCTTTAGAGATACTACAGTGATCTGTGATTCTGAGTTCATTAATACTTCTCATGCTTGCAGAATAGTAGTATCACAGTGCAGTCTCTCTTCATAAATATATATTTTCATTGAAAGAGTAACAGATTCAGATATCAGCTTTAAGAGTCTTAAGAAGACTGTTACTGACTCTGTTTATCACTTCTTAAATTTCTATTTTAATTTATTCAGATAGTTTATATGAAGATATTCTGATTTAAAATAGATAAAGTAGAGACTCTTTTTCTTAATCTTTCTATTATATACTCTGTTTATAAGAGCTTATAAAGCTCTCTCTCTCTACTCAGTAGTCAGATATGAATCTCTCTATATCTTATTATCTTTCTCCAATAAAACTATTCTCTGTTATTCTAATTCTTACAGAGCTGATCAGTGATTTACTCTCTACAGATCTGTGACTCTCACAGTGATTTATAAGTAGTGAATAAGAGTTATCAGTTTCTTCAGAGTCAAGAGCTTAGAGTCTTACTTAATGAGCTTGTTTTGCATATCTTTCTTCAGTTCCTTTATAAATATCATTATTCAGATCTTGTTTCAGAGCTCTGTTTTCATAGATCTTAATTCATATTATAATTTCATGAAGTACTGTGAGTAGTCTTTATCAGATTTCTCATCTCTTTTTCTAATATTAATGATTACAGCTCAGATGTTCTCTATTCAACTCACAGAGTCTTTCAACTTATTCTCTAGATAGATCTTGAGAACAGATTAGTAGAATCTCTTGTGATTATTCTCTAGATAATTTAGTCGGTTCTTGACTTCAGTGTAGTAAAGATCTGTTATTGTATAAATAACAGCTTTTTCATCTTTCATATCACACAGTTAGACTGACCGTGTGACCGTGTCTGAGACCAGGACCAGATTTTTTGATAGTCTCATTATCAATTCGACTGATCCCATTACATAGTTTTAACATTAGATAGTAGTTTCATACTATCTCAGTAAGACTTACTGTCTACTCTTGTCACATTTTCCAAATGAGACCATGATTTCCACTTCTCAATTTAAATTATTTTTATTGCTTTAAATGACTTTAAATCTTATTTGAGTGTTATCAAAAAGTGTTACTTTTTAAAAAATTAAAAATAGTCTAAAAAAAACCTTAAAATGTCTAAAAATAATCACTTTATGTCAAGAATGAGACTAAATGAAATCAAATGAGATCACTTTCTCATTTTTTTCAAGTCATGATTTCATTTTAACATCTCATATATAGTCACTTTGCATGTTTTTTTAATAACTAGTCCCAGCGGGATTCACGCCAAGAAATGTATAGGATCAGATCAAATGAGACCAAACATGAAATTCATGGTCTCAGCGGCCAGTCTACACACAGCTGAGCTTATAAGTCAATTTCAAATGCAAACTTGTAAAAGCTTTTATAGATTATAATTCAATAGTTAGTTTTAAGTGATTACAGCTTTAGAAAGTTTCTTTTCAGTTCATAGGTATTTCTGAAGATTATATCTAGAGACTCAGTTCAAGAGTGTTTCTGAATAGTAAGTATTTCTTGTAGAAAAATAGCTTAATTCTGTGAGAGATACTTAAGAATGTTCTTCACTAAGATTAATTTATTTATGAGTTTGAAGAGTTTCTCTGTCACAGATGCAGAGAATAATATCTTATAAGTAATTGATAAGTTCTCTGAGACTTCTTTTATAAGAGTTATTTATGATTCAGATGACTGCTTCTGAATGTCTGCAGTAGAGTTCATAGAGATTAAAGTATATGAGTTTCTAGTTCTTTCAGTTATACTGAGCAGTTGCTGACTGACTGAGCTTGAAATATAAGAATAAGTACTCACAGATAATTATTCAGATGTTTGCAGCTTAATGTAATATATACTGTTAACTACTAGAAGTATTCATGATAGAAAGATAAAATGTAGAGATCACATGTATAATAGTATTCAAGCTGAGTTATGAATAGTATTCATGAACTTCAGTCTATATAGTTATGTGTAGTCAAGGGCTGCGAACTCTATTGATTACGTGAGAGATAGTAATAGAGGTAAAGAATCCGCAAGAAGCGGGATTTCTTACAAAATCTGACAACTCAAGTTAAAATATTTAATGATGCTGATATAAATGAAAATTCCGTCAGAGCTATACTGCAATGACAAGATATTCTGACATTTTAAGGTCTTATAAGTGATGTTTCTGAATATTGACAAATTACTAAAGATGATTTTACAGAGGCAATTCAGAATACTCTGACAGTTAAAAAAAGATGTATAATAAAAGATGCATAAAAGAAGATGTGGAAAAAGATAAAATTTTCAGATGTACTTGCAGTAAAAGACAGGTCAGTGATGTAGAGTGTTAAGTGACACAGAGAGTTCTAATATAACTTATTTCTATTTTAATATATTTAGTTTTCTATGAGTTTTATATATAAATTAGTTAATATATACTTTAATATTGTAAGGGGCCTACGCCGAATAGATCGGTATAATATACAGGTCTTATATATCAAAGAGAAAAACATTAAAGAAGAAAAAGAAAGAGAAAGTACAAGAATCAGTGATTGAAGTGAATGTTTATCTGTATTTATAGCAGCTGAGAATCAGTGATCAAGAATGACTGAGAATCAGAGTGTATGCATTTATACACATTTGTAGTGACTGAGAATCAGTGATCAAGAATGAGCGAGAATCGGAGTGATAGACATCTGTGAAGTGTAATGAAATAGTCTTATATGAATGATCAGGCGTAGCCCGTCACATTAGCCTCTTTCTTCTCATTAGTCAAGGACTGTGATCTCAGATAATACAGAACTCAGAGTTCAGGTCAGACAATCATAGCTGACTCATTTCACAAGATATTGTCAGTCACAGCTGTGAAATCTCTTATTGAGAATATCTTTAATTTCTCACTCAAGTTAATTATCTTCTTCTATGATTTCTGGCAGCTGTCAGTCAGAAGTCAGTTACAAAGAGAATGAGTCAGTAATAGCACAGCAGAGTAGACTTATGTGAAATACATTATAAATCTCTGACAGAGTATTAAGACAATAGTTATGAATGTCTAGAACTTCTATCACTGTGTATTTCATATAATAATAATTCAATGTATGAGATGAATGTGTAATGTGTATATTTTTGAGATTTAATTATACAAGATCTTCTATCTTATACTGCTCTGTGAGATCTCATCAGATATTGACTTGATTCTCTTAATCTTATTTAGTGCTTATCATGAAGACTTCTACTCAGTTATAAGTATCTCAGAGCTTTATTACTATATTATCAGTGATCTGAATTGAACTATGAGAGTTCAGTGTAAACTGTGTGGTCTCTAAAAGATTTAACACTTTCATATGATACTCATGTGTAAGAAAGAACAGACTTACATCTGTTAAAACAGTATCTTAATTATTGATAGTGATCTCTGTGTATAGAAGAAGATTATATCAATCATCTTATAAGTGATTACAGAACTTATGAAGATAATTCTTCACAGTCTGAATTATTTATTCTGATGTATTATCAGTCTCAGAGTAATAGACAGTTAATAAATGATATATAATCTTGAGAACTTAACAGATTCTTGTTCAGAGAGTACTCATGAATTAACAGTCTCAGTTTAATATAATAGATTTCAGTAACTCATACATCTGATAGAATGAACTCTGTAAGAAGACTTCAGTAACTTGTTCAGTATTCATCTTATCACAAGATTTCAGTATTATATCTTTACTTGATCAGTTAATAATAACTAGAATATTCTTACAATTCTTACTCTTCAATAGATTAATAGCAAAGTTAATTACTACATCTTATCAGATTCTATCAGAAATATTGAGTAATTTCAGTAGATCTTTTCTACAGTTCTTTCATAAGATAATAGAAGAACAGTAGTCACAGTTTCAGATAAAGTATCTGATACTATTTAATATCTCAGATCAGTAGAACTCTCAGAAGATCATTCTATACAGTTCTTCATAGTCCGAATAATCAGTTATATATAAATCATGCATCTCTTGTATTATCTGAGTGTGTAAGAGTTCAGAGTGAGAGATTCAACATTGTTTACAAAATCACAGAGTATTACTGTTATTTATTGAACATTCTGAGATGTTAATCTTTATATGTAATTCTGAAGAGAATTAAGACACTTCTTATTATACTACTTCAGTGAGAATTTGAAGAAGTTTGTCAGTCTGAGCTGCTGTATATCACAGTTCATTCAGTGTGAGAGAAGTGAAGATATTAGTATCAGTTCATAGAGAGAGTATTCTAATCAGAGAAGTATATATAGTATTATAAATGATCTCATTATAATTAACTAATATCTTCAGGTTCAAGAGCTGATA